AATATGATAACATATACTTATATATTTATTCACGATAGGCTGAATTTACATATGGATGCAATCATGTGGAAGAAGATGTCGCATGAAGTGAGTATGATTTTTTCAAAGACACATTTCGATCAACGCGTTGCAGTTGAAAGGGTCGGTCATATGAGCTGGTTGAACGACCCAATAATACTAAAATAAACAATGCCCCAGAAACAAATTCATAACGAGTACGATCTTTATGCCCTAGTGACTTTGGCTTCCCGTATTCAAAACGTTTCGTAGGATGGAAAAACGCTGCTGATCGAATTTCTGTGTCCGTAATCGAATAATGAAACCTATCGAATGATCGATCGAAATATGGAACAAACCGAACAAAAATGAGAAATGTGACGAACCTCTTCTGTTCCATCACCAATGTCAACATCCGATGTTACAGTCATCACAAAATCAATGATTCATAACAAACGCCCAAATATTCTTTTCCTTAAACTTTTCTATTCTGAACGCAATTTTCGAAAATTTGATTAATTCGAAAAAAATTTTTATGGCCACGATTCGAGCGAACAGCCACAATGGAATCGATAGATCAGTCGGATTAGAGCGATTGAGTGCAGATTGAGTGATCAACACAACGATTGCACATCTCGACTGAGTGCTGAACTTTTTTATAAGACGATACCAATTGCTTGTTTATGTGATTGAGATTAAAATTGCGAGTTCAATTCTGAAAAATAATCATTATTATTGAAAATAATAACAATAACAGTGATAATAACAATAGTAATAATAATAATAACTATAATAACAGCAAAACAACAAAAATAATAAAAATAACATTAATAATAATACTGATTGTCGTGTACACCACTACCCGAAACAACCGTTTATTTCCAAAACCCAAATGCACACAAAGAATGTCCAAAATTACGATTATTCATAGAAATATTTTATACTAAATTTATTCAAACTTATTTATTCAAATTTACTTCAATTTATTCAAATTAATATCACACTGATAATAACAATAACTGACAATAATAGCAATAAAGGTGGATAATAAAACCGATGCAATGGTATTATGGTTTTTGATCATTCAAAATCGAAGTGTACAATCTGTTTTTTGTTTGGCACTTTCGCGCGATAACGATACATTTTTTCATGAGAAAATTGAGCAGTTTTTTGGATAAACAGAATGAGAAAACGATCGCTTGACGGACAACAAATGCAGAGTTGTTGTAAAGTGAATAATGAAACGAGGTGTTGCAAGACGATGCAAGTATTTTGCGATTGTTTATTCAGTCATTCGTACGTATATTTATTTAGCGCTGATTTATCCATCATCAAAATCTAATTAAGTTGTTATTCATTCAGCAATAATTACTCGATATGGGCATCATTAATGACACCTCGTCGACATACACACTAAAATGCTCTTCCATTCAACGATCCAAACAAACAACACTGTTGGTTGTTCCGTTTCAGTTTAGAAACAATTGGGTATTTGATTAAATTCGCTGATGCAATTGAGCAACTTCATTCCAGCACAAACAATGCACATTGGTGGTGTGATAAATGGTAATAGTCAAAGTGAAATATTGCGATGGATTAGAGTCGGTCTCAGGTTTAGGCTGAGCCACATACATGGACTGTGTTATCAGTATTTGAGCAGTGGTTCGCAAACTTTTTTCTCCCGCACCCTTTGAGGAACCTGTGTTAAAGAATAGATGGTTCTGTGCTACCTGCGTGAGGTGTCTATTGAACGAGTAGATGGATACTCGGTATAAACATCAGTCTAAGCCCAACCCCAAAGGTGATATTTCACTCGGATTAATGCCACTTGTGCGCGGGAGATAGATATTAGCATGGTTGATGATATAGACCACGTTTCTTTGATCAGGGAAACTTGAAGGATATAACTTTCGCAACTAGGTGATCTGTTCACGGAGTGGATCTATTGAAAGGAGGAATCACAAAGAAAAGGAAGTGAAGCACCCAAGCTGAGTGGCTGCACTCAGTGAAGCTTTCATGATCTCTTTCACGGAAGCTGATCTTAAAATTATTCGTTGGTGTCACTCAAATTCATCCTAGTCGTTTAGCAATGAGCCTTGCTCAAGACACCATATGGCTGATGAAATAAATACATTTAACGAAATTCAGCAGAATTATTGATCACTTATCCTCTCAAACTGTGTAAATCGCTTTAAGAAAAATGTTTGTTTTTTGGAATTATAGAGAAAACTCGTTAAAGAGAATAAATCACCGAAAATGAACAGAAGTGTACTTTAAAAAATCACTCCGAACAGAAGTGTCCGTTGTTGAACATCATTAAAGCCTTCAAACGACTGATTATGCCAATTCACTTATTGCTAGCTATTGAACGGAACTGAAAACTTGATAGAAATTCACTCGAAATAGTTCTAAATCTGAGGAAGTTCTAAAATCCGTGATGAAGAATACTCGAATGAATGCCGCAGTCGAAATGACTGTAAGCAGTTTGTCGATGCTCGAAATGAATTCGAACGATACAAATGCAGATGAAAATGTATCACTGCTAAGGTTTTTCACAATTTTGTCTTTATTCAAGTGGAATTCATCAATATTGAAAACGCAACAATTCTCAAACATTTTTGATTTCTTTCACCAAATTCTCCCTGCACAAGCGAAATAGCACTGTACAATCATATATCATTGAACCAAATCACCAATACGCTCGATACAATCAAAACATACGAACGTGGCAAAGTTCCTGGAAGAGATGATCAATCAATCGATCAACGAATCCTTGAGATAAGCTGCAACTCCTGTAAAGAAAGTCTCCTGTAAATCTGAAGGAGTACAACGTTGACTCATCAATATTCACCTGCTTTCGGGAGCCAACCTTGCATATTTCCATTCATTATTGGACAATCTCTAAACATGAACATGAAAATTTTTCACACAACAACAATTATAATTGTTCACGAAAATGTATTTCAACAACACCAAATAGACAAACTTAAATAGTGTGTAAATGGATGCAATAAATATTAACAATAGTTCTTTGAAAGACAAAACAAACAAAGACAGTCACAAAAAATCTGCAATAGGAAAGCATTCAAATCGAAAGTATTAAAATTAAATTGATGTACTCAAGCACATCCATCCATTCGAATGACAGCCGGATATTCATATGAGCACATGCATCCATCTCGTTGCAAAGGCATAAATCAACGAGTTGCTTCTTCAATTACGAGTACGTACGATACATCCTGCGTGTATGTGCACACCAATTAATCAAATTCAACAGTTGGCAATACTTTAAGTTGGAACAAACCAAACAAACAAATCATCCTGTATGATGATTAATGAATAACGTCTGAAATAAAACCGTCATAAAACAAATTTCCACTGTTCAATCGTTGCCTCCTCTCAATGGCATCCATTCAATAAAATTTATTCGTTCATATTTCATCCAGTGTTCTTCCTACTATTCAAACAAATAAAAATGAGATTGAATGCTAACGATAGTGATGTGATAGCGAGCGTTTGATGCGCAAAAATTCTCCGTTGTTCTATTGTTTCATTAAGTGCATTTGGCTTATTGCGTCATTCATTACGAATAATTTATGAACACTTTCTTTAACCACATTCCATAAAATTACCCTTATTATTAGAGCTGTTCCAAACGAACTGAATGCATTTAGTATTCTAACAGCAGTGGGTTTATTTGAGAGCAACATTATTTCCAAAAGATTTCAATGCAATGCATTGCTTTGGAGTGAGCAAATTCAATCGTAAACCATCACTTAAGGAAGCCGGACAAAGTTGTGTGATTGATTCGATTCAAAATCTCTTATTCATGAAGTATTTTTATTTGCATCAGAAAAATCAATCTTCCCTCGAACTAACTGTTCAAATGGCAATCAATTGTCCAAATTCATATTGCAACAACAAAATGTTCCTTTGATTGACAATGAGAAAGTTTCATTTTTCTCATTTGCTTCTTCTTTTTTCAAGAATCTTATCATGCCTTAGCCAAATGGACTCTTACGAACAACCAACTCTTCAACACGTAGCGGATGAAATCTCCAGAAAATAACACACTGTAAAGACTAAATCCGTATCATTTCTCATGTGTATGATGTTCAAATTTTCAACATCGGCTTAGATTTAGGGCCCGACTTAGATGCATCTTAAACCTCAGACTCTAGTTTTTGCCACAATGCAGACTCTGACTCTTGCCAGGCATAGTCAGAATCGCATCTGTTGTGTTTTAAATGTGCCAGAACTGGGCGTCGAGGTCATGCAGAGCTGAAATTCGGTAACATCTCTGTTTTGAGTATTCACATTTCATAACATCTATCAAACAAAAATGTCCGTTCCATCACTTAACAATGGACTGTCATCATGTTCGTAATTGGCGAAGTGTTAGCATACCTCTAGTGGATGCATATTTCCACGGAAAGGTGACCAGTATTTTACTCATTTCACCCGCAACACTTTGAAAATTCTCTCACCTGACCAGACTCCTTGAATAGTGATTAGCACGGTGCCACCCTGACAGATGGGACTGGTCAAGGAGCCAGTTATTGGTCATCTGTGAACGGTAGTTGAACTTAACTATCATAGACCGGTCGTTTCGCCACAATTGAGGCTCGTCTCTCGTTAGCGAACTTTGCTACTCGGATGTAGCGGTCAGTGTAATGTGAAATCGGATGTTTTTACTCTTAGTTCAGCTGCACCTCGTGTTCCTGATGTTCACACAGTCGTTGAACATCACTTGACTACATAACATTTGCAGTCTGGGGCAGTTCAGTCCTAAAGAAGGACATTTTTCTCTTAGTGTTGCCGAGTTAAACATTAAAAATTTACCTCTTTTCATCGGATTCATCCGAGTTGTTCCGCGAACTTGAGAGCGTAAAATGTTTTCAGCTACCATTATTTTATTCATCATTTCAGGTGATTGCTTAACATAAGACCGAGAAAAATCGAGTTTTGGCGAGCACTCTGCAGTCGCTCTGATTCGTTTTTTTATGGAGAATGCTACAGTAAGCAATACTGAACACAAAAGTGATAACGCGAAAAAAATCGAGCAGTACTTTTCATCATTCACGGTCACGCCAAAACTCGTCAAAATTTGTAAGATTGATTATTTTTGCAATATTTCTAAATTATCACGTATGATCTCACCTTTATTAACGTAACCTCCATCGCCCAATTTGACTTAAATAACATTGAAATAGTCACGTCTCTATTGAACACCTCCTCATGAGCTTCGTAAATTGCCACGGTTCTCCAAGTAGCAGGCAATTTCCAGTGGTCATTACCTGCTAGATATCTATTCATTCTTCTAAGCCACTACATAATCAATTAGATAAAACAATGATAAACCATTTCGGCGATCATGAAAAAAGTTGAAACCTTAAAAATTATTGAAAAGATGAAAATTTTCAGTGAGTGGTTGTGCAGTTGGTTCGTTTTTTGGACTGGGCATTCGGTCGGCACTGAGACACACACGTGGCTCGGGGCACGAAAAGTTGGGATCAGCGAAGCTTTTTGGCGGTGTCGGGGTTGCGCTGAGAGCGTTAGGGACGGCCACTGTGCTGACGTGCTCTGGATTTGGATTGCTGGTGATTGCGGTGTCAGCCGTTCTTGACGTGAATACACCACGTCAGTTCGGCCATAAAATGAGATTGTTTTGTGGCGATCGTTTGAGACTGGAGAAAAAAGAAAGTATCGCCACTCTTTCTGAAGTGTTTCGTCTGGCCGAACAACCTGCCAGCGCCTCACAACAACAACCTACTGCTTTATCCCATTCGGATTCTGCTGCTGCTGCTTCATCAACGCATTCACACGAACTGTCTTACCCCCCTGAACACCATCAGAATTCGAATCAGTAATCTGGTCACTTTTCAACACCCCTGTTTTCATCAAGCGTTTCCGATTCGAAAACCTTCCGTTTTTAGTGTCTCCCCAAGAGGCACTAAAAATCCAAAGGGGCTTCCAAAAATCTATTCTCGTCAACAAAAAGTCAGTTAACTCCGAACTCATTTGAACCATATCATCTAGAACTACCACCAACCCAAATCCTTTCCATCCATTCAGTCACCTCTACACTACAATAAATTAATGGATACGTTACTGTCAGTCTTTCTGCTAATATTGTTAATTGTGACTTCTGCACTGATGCTCAAATTATGTGCCTTTCAACAACATGCGCTGCCGCCGAGTCGTCGTGCCTTGCTGATCACGGCACATCCAGACGATGAAACTATGTTCTTTGGGCCAACAATTCAAGGTCTTCTACGAGACGGTACACAGCTCTATTTGCTGTGTCTTTCGACGGGTGATGCCTACGGAGCTGGTGCTAGACGGAAGAAGGAGCTGGCGAAATCAACGCAAACGTTGGGTATTGTCGGCGAGAATGTGATCGTGTTAGATTATGATAATTTCAAAGATGGGTTCAAGTTGTGGAGCAAAGAGCGATTGGCCAGAGTGCTTCTGCGACACATCCAAATACTCGATGTGGACATTGTGATCACATTCGATGGATACGGTGTGAGCGCACACCCTAATCACATCTCGTGTTTTCGTGCTTTGCAGTATTTGTACTCGAATGGACTCATACCAGCCGACGTTCAGGTACACTGCTGCTAGTGGCCACATGCTCGCTACTTTTCATTCTTGTTGAGCATACTCCCTTTTTGATCGTATCGTTTTTCTGATAATTAATGTGTCGCAAAAATAAAATTATGTTCAATACAATATGGTTTGAATATGGGATTGCATGAAGTGGATTATTGCTAGCACTCGTGCAGTTAAATTAGTAGTTTCACATCGCTTGTTCATTCCATTTTGGATGGCCTTGATTCGAGTTATAATCACCATGGAAGTGAATTGTAAGCACCTTTCCCGATAGATTGTTTCTGTGCGAAAAATTGTGCGATTTATTCCATTCACTTATTGTTTTTTGTTTTCTTACGATAACTTCTGAACACCAAAAGAATAACAATTTTCAGGTATTTGTACTGGAGAGTGTGACCGTGTGTCGTAAGTATTTGTGGCTATTGGATGCGTTGATTAGTGCAGTGCATTCGACATTCTTGTACGTCAGCTCACCATCACAGTATCTGACAACGTGGCGTGCAATGTTCTGTCATACATCGCAAATAATTTGGTTCAGATACCTATATATGGCATTCAGCAGATATTTGATCATCAATACGCTGAAACGAATTCATTTAAAGCAACGTAAAATTGTCGCCAAAAAAAAGTTGTAAAATTGTCGCCAAGTTGATACTCTTTCGCATCATTTGCTCTTCTCGAAAGATTAATTACTACATTTGGAATTAACTGGTCTTGTTAAGCAGAGTTTCTTTCTCTTGTTACACTCTTGAATTTCTTGTTTTCAAAAAAAGGAGCAATAACTAGGAAACCAGTCGTTTAAAATGTATCATTCCTATTGTTTTTTACCTAGTAACCGTCGTTGTGTTCATTTGTTCATTGCTATTTCACATGTAAATGAGAGAAGATTCCGTGTGGTTTTCAACATGTCACTCGTTGTTGTTGTTGTTGCCATTGTCATTGTGCAGAAAGGTGAAGACTGTGCCGAAAATTTATGAACATTATCGAATTGTGACGAAAATTGTTGCAACCGAACATTATTTATTCGCCAATTTGAACGTTTATATGCACCTGTTCAAGTGTTTCTTGTTGTTTTTCTTTTTTTCAAATGTTAAACACCATGAAAATGTTTCTAGTACGTACACGAGTAATGTTTCATATTGTATCGTTTATTGCTCAATTCTCTAAGCCCATCATCATATCGTGTAGTTAGTCGTTATGAATTTTGTGTTAGTATGTTTTGAATGAAACGCATTGATAGTGCCATCAATCTACTGTGATCGTCAGCCAAAACTATCGCTCTTGAACAATGAAGCTTGCTCAGGTGCAAATTTATCTTTTGTCCTGATTATGTCTTCATGTGAAAATGACTAAAGCTTGTCCAGTTATGAACTCAATCTCTAATTGTAAGATTTGATTTTAAGAGTTTATTCCAAGATGATTAGATATTGTAGAAGATGACTGTCGAGAAGATGAACAAATTTTTTTGTTCACGTTGAGACTGAGATGATATGGGGAAATAGAACAGAATTATAAAAATGGGAGTGTTGTTGTTGTTTTTATTGTTGTAAATTGTTATATCCCTTTTAAAGCGATCTAGAAAAGCATCCTCCAACTAACTACTATTACTATATTGGCCGAACGTGGAATGAATTTTAGTTTATTTTTTATGTTACTGTTCCCATCGCAAATCAGTAATATTGTTATTAATCTATTATGTAAATCCTAATAAAGCAAAGTCATATAGCACTGTTGAAAAAGGTTGAGAGAATGTAATTTTTATACTCAAATAATAGGTCATTGAGAGACGAAATAACTGTCTGCAACAATACGTCCGAGATTCAAATCGAATTTTGTGTAAATGGCTATATCAAGTCCAGAATTTTCCCAACTCATGCGATGAAACTTCTGCTAAGAACGATCAAATGAATTTTTCTGTTCAGCTCTCTAACTCATGTTAACCTACTAATTTCCCTGCTAACAATTGATGCAATGAGGCAGTGAATGCTGATTGCGAGCATCTTTTTCGACAATAAATTTCATGCTAAAAACTGTGAACTTTCAGAAATAATTCCAAACATAACTTTCAAATGAACAGAATTCCGTCGTTGTAATCAAGAATCATTAAGTAATGAGAAGCAATCTTCAAATGAAATTTCAAAAAATAAAAACAAACAAACAATGAAATTGAGAGATACAAACAAACAAAGAATAACTAATAGTAAGATTTTCAATCTCAAAACACAAAAGCATCATTTCCTCACGAGGAACACGAATTGAAACAATAAATCAGATCACAACAATTGATTGTTGAATAAAACAAAATAAGTTAAACGAACCAAGCATACACGAGAACGACCCGTTCTCTTCGTTTTGCACGCAGACTACAACAAATATAAAATCAATGATATTCATCATCAAAAATGCGCCGCTCATTCACCACTCTGAAGCAACAATGAATGAATAATTGCATTGTAAATTATACGCGTACATTCATTCTCTTAATGTTTCGACTATTTCAATCGAACTTCGAAACTTCGCTAGATCGGAAACTAGACTGAAATGTCATTGATGCTACATGAACAAACGAATCTTCTAGCTCATAAACCAGAAATCGTGGCCACAGCCGAACTGCCCTAAACCTCTGTTGGGCATCTTTTCTCAGTTACTTTCAAAAAACATTTTGATTCATTACTCACATCAAAATAGATTTCATTACCGATATTCGATCACACAAATCCATCACGTGCAAAAAGATGACCGTTGTGTCGATAAGACTACAACATTTAAACACTGATCATGCATGATGCACATCAAACAACTCAACAACGAATCAGCCCAATGACTGATTGGTGCCATTGGCGAAGTGTTTCGCTAGGGAATCGCACAGCAATGATCCGAGAACGAGATTCTCGCAGTTCACACGAATTCGACCATTTTCGATGCTAATCAACACCAACTGCTTCTTCGATAACGTTTGCGCACAAAATTTCGTCTGAAAATGCCGAAAAATTCTTTCAAATTCACAAAAGTGCTAGATAAAAATATTTTTTCTCATACAAAAAATAATGGAAAAAGCCATTTGTCGCAACGGAGCGCGAAAGAGACGATTCGTGAGGGACATCAAAGTGATATGTGAAATCAACCTTTAAATCTGTACTTAGCTGTATATGTATAATATAAGATATGCACGGATATCATGCAATATCGATTCGAAATGTAACTTTCGTATATCTCACTTGAAGAACCTCCTCCCTTTTGTGTTTGTATGATATGAATACTTTGTGTTTCAATAATTTAAGACATTGTTATTACAAAATAAACGCCGAAACCATTTGTTCGTGGTGAAGCGCTCAAAAATTCATGATCCGATTGATCACAAAGGCACTTGAAATCATGAAATCTTTTGCATACCAATATTTAGGAATGGTTTGGTGAATATTTTATTATTGAATATTGAATATTTATTTTATTAGAGTTATGATTATTTATTGGATTGATATTTGGCTACGATTGATTATGCAAAATATTCACGTCAACTAATAAATTACTCGGTTGTGTTCGGTTGGCCTGCTCGGCTAGCCAGCGGGGTGGCGTAAATTGAAGCTAAAAGAATGTGCGCGGAAACGTGAGCATTGTGGCCAGCAGCGTTACAAGCGTTTGATAGCTTGGCCAATCCAGGTAAATCAGGTTTGGTGAAAGAGGAATGAAATCGAAACGAAAAAACGAACACTGGATCGTTGTACAGCCGCACAATTGGCCACTGTATAGAGCTGTTGTGGTACCACAACCAGTGACTGTTCACACTTCTGACAGTGTTCATTGATGCCACTCAGCTGCGCCAATGCCTCATCGAACTGCGCCTCGCTCATTACGATCGGCTCTATTTGCTCGCCCATGCCCGCTTCAATCTTGATCGCTTTACAACTCGATTCACTCGTCTCCAATAACCATTCCGATGCACGTTTACTATCACCAAAATCTATGTAAACCCTCTCTTCCAATTCACTTTTCGCGTTTATTTTACCCAGCTGAAGTGTTTCACTTGTACGAATTCCTTCGACATCCTAAAAAAAANAAAAAAAATGAATGAAACGCAAATTTTCTTCTATAATACAAAATCACTTTCAACGAAGCGCCTTAAGTTTGTCGATGATATCAATCGACAAAGTACTCAAATCCAAAACATAGCTTTCAACCAACTCTAAGGCTTTGTACAAATTTGAAAAAAAAGGAACCCAAAGCAATGAAAATCGTAAAAATTTTTGAAACGCCATCCAGTTCTTCAACTTAAGATCATACTGAAGTTATCTGAGGTGAACAAGATCAAGCAAAGATTCAGCTCAGAATCCGATTTAATTTCGAAGTGCGCAAAATTTCCACAATTGTAGTATGCCATCGCCCAAACAAACAGGTAGCAAACTGTTCGAACGTTGTCCTAACTTCCCTAATGATAGGGAATAAGCATCACCTTCGGAATGAATCTGAGAACGGATGACTCGGAATCAGACTCGTTTGTGAATCGCAACTCAATTGTGCACATCGACGAAGACAGTGTTGACGGTGCTCTCGCGAATCGCATCTCGACACCGATTCGCAACGGCCATTCGCTTGCACTCAGCAAACATCGATATGCGGTCTCAACGTACTTCGCTGACGCCGTATTATACAAAGATATCACATTTGTGCTAGGATCGAAATTCAAATCCAGCAAGAGATCTAAGTTCATTGACGGTCTGAAATTTCACAAACATTCAAAGAGAAATTATATTTTCTAATGAAAAATAACAGCAACCTTCCCTAAAATATTACACATTATCCTGCAATGAATATCGCAACTGTACGGATGACTGACGTTCGATGATGGGTGTATCAATGATAAAATTGGTATCAAAATGAAAAAGCACTAATTGCAAAACAAATGACATTCAAAAGTTGACAAATAAACATCATCGCCATGGCGTTGTCCCTATCGAATGAATAAAACAGATCATTTGTGAATAATCGATGAATGTTATGTCAAATCCTTTCAAAGAAAATATCTACCCATCAAATGCAAATATTCATTACAAAACTTACTTTTTCACAGCTGTTGAAGGTGCAGGCAATGGTACCTCATTTTGTTTGCGCGCTGACCTTTCGGTCCTCTTTTCTTCCTCATCCTCATCTTCATCCTCTTCATCACTCTAAAAAATTAATGTTCCCACTCTCTCAATTCGAAACGAAACAAATAACTTCAATTCACAATAATAATCGATATTTCCGTAACCATAATAATGCTGCCAACAATCAACACTTCAAACCCAAATATAATATAATGCTAATACTCTATACAATTTTTTAAACCTGTTACTTCCAAATACATACAACACTTCCAAATACAATTTTTTAAAACTTGTTACTTGGTCATCGAGTGATTGTTTTGTAGATCGCTGTGAGCGATCGGCGGAATATTTATTTTATTAGAGGTATGATTATTTATTGGATTGGTATTTGGCTGCGTTTAATTATGCAAAGTATTCACGGCAACTAATTAATCACTTGGTTGTGTTCGGTTGGCCTACTCGCCTAGTCAGTGGAGTGGCGTAAATTGAGGCTTAAACAGTGCGAACGGAAACATAGCGAACATAGTGGCCGGCAACGTTACAAACGTTTGACAGCTTGACCAATCCAGGTAATACTCCATAAAAAGCGATCACATCGCACTTTTTATCACACTCACTTTATATTCACACGCTACCCAAAACACAAATCAAAAATCTCTCCTTTTAAACAAAATCCTCGAGCACTAACCGTTTCCTCATCACTCTCCTCGTCCTCCCCACTCTCCTCTTCCTCCTCCTCCTCTTCATCCTCATCAGAGCTATCCTCCTCTCCCTCCTCATCCCCTTCATCTTCCTCCTCGTCTTCGTCCTCTTCCTCATCCTCAGAGATATTCTCATTTGACAGTGTATTCTGCAGGTTTTGTGCCAGTGTATCGCCAGTTGACCGTCTCGCACTCGGATCGGGAGCAACTTCAGGGAACGGCTCAAGGTCGCGATATCGTGCACAACGTTGATTCAAATAATGCGATAAACTACCTAATTGAAACTGTTCACGTTCTGAAACAACAATTATTCAATAACACAATTGAATTGAATATCTGAATGTAAGTTGACTGACGTTCGTTCGTGAAAATGATGTAACCAATCAGAACCAATCAGTAATCTAACGTCAAAACAAACTACAATTCGATGTTTGATTGACAAAAACTAAAGCTTATTTCCCGAATGATTAAAGAAACCTTTGAATTTCCAACATAAAATTTTAAAAAAAGAAAACGTGCGATGCATTTCATTCATATCATAAGAACATAAACATCTCGCGACAATAAGATGAAACCACTAAATGATGCCGCTTCACGCACTCAAACTGGATGGGCTTTTGAATTAAATCGCCTGGACTAATAATCAAAACCCTCATGATATCAATGTCTGCATCAGCCATATTCGACCGCGAATACAACTGAACCTTAGCTAATGATTAAACTTGACGAAATTATAAAGCTTCAGCGTTTGCAAGTGGTGGCATTATGATGAATGCACAAATATTTATGTAGACTCGTGCTATGGCTTAAGTATTTCGAGTCGAATGCTGCCGTTTCGAAATGAACAACTAAACTGACGAACCTTTATAAGTGTTCTGCATTTTTGGCGATGGTTTTTCGGTTAAGAAGATTTGCTTTGCAAATGCACTCAACTTATTCTCGCCATTAAACAGCAGATTCCTAATCAAACGACACCGATCTCGAATGTCGTAATTCTGATCGAATCGTGCCAGCTGCATCACATATTGCACTAACAGCTGACAATCGCTCGGATTCGTCAACCACAATTTCACCGCCAAGTTCATCGTTTGTAATTTCACCATATCAGTTTCATGTGTGAACGTTTTCGCCATTACTCTCAACAAATCCGGTGCATACTTTTCCACCTTAAAAATTCATTCGTTCTGTTGTTTCTTCTTTTTTTTCTCACATACTTTAGAAGTAACATCTGTTGTTGTCCTTCTGCAACATCTTTCAAATGTGCATCTCGTTCAGACACTTTACACGGTCCACAGTGAAAAATGATCAACTAAAACTCACCGAATTGAGCGATTCTCATAAAGATCATAGCATTTATCACTCAAATACGATATATCTAGCAATAATACTCTAGTAATAATTATAAATCTGGCATTGTAATACCGATGTGTTTGTGTTGAGAATGAAGAGGAAATGAATAGAGAGTGGAACCTTTTGCACATGATTCGCAATTAACCACAGAACGCAAGCTCGAGCCTGTGGTTGTTTCACCGAGTCAATTAAACGCAAAACACGCTTCAGTAACGGTAATGGCGCATCAGAATGAAGCAATCTGAATGACAAATTCAATCCACTTCTACATACACAATCACTTCTAATGGTAACTGCTCTATATGAAAATTTTCTAGATCTATAATGTAACAATCTTTTCTCGTGTAACTCTTCACATAAGGGATCGAGAAAGGTGCACTTAATGCAAGCAGAGTTAACTAGATGATTGATGACCTCTTCAGAACGACAACAGCCGCCGAAACGACACGTTCGTTTGGGGACGCAATCAACGCGACAAGACCCGTCAAGCACGAATCGGCCACAGTACCAACACGTAATGCACACTGACCTATCGCATCCACTGCCGCATCCGCCAGTTCGTCCATACTAACATACGTCTAAATCAATCACTGATCACTAAATAAAAGACTGATCCCGCAGCGCATCTCAAATCAAACACGATTCAAGTGAATCAACACCAATCCTTTATGGAGAACGATAGATTATAAAATGATTTGAAACCACTGCACTCGTCTTTGGCATCATAAAATTTGACCACAGCTTTGACAAAAAAAAAATTTCACAGTCCGAGAATCCACTTCAAGTTTTCCTCCGTGATACACATTAATCTATCCTCTATGCGATGAGCAAATGAATATCGCGAAAAGATTTATTTCCTCACTTGCAGTTCCCTCAAAACGAGTTGCACGTTTGTCTCTGAGACAAGCGACGTCAGCACCTGCAGCTTCAGCACTTTGATGTGCGTCGGTTCCGATGATCTGATGAAGAAACTCTTCAGAAACGGTTCGAACATATTCTGCAAGTTAACGAAACTTTCAGCAATTTTGATGGGAATTCATCTTCGAAATGGATTCATCAAAAATGCAATCATATAATTACTGATGAGTTTACAACGTGAACAACACAGGCGACGTATAAAGTATGCGCATATTCAGCATCGAATCAGTCACTTTGTATTTCACTTCAAGCACTTATATGACGAGAATTACCTCAATTTCCCTCTCACTATCAGAAAATAAGCTCATTCAGATTCTCAACCCAGAAATAGAACTAGCGGAATGTTTCTTCGGGGCAGAAAAAAATGCAACTGAAAACAATTGCAAGCGTTCGAGGCGGCTTCGAGTTCCAAAAGAGACATGGAGCATGCATGCGCATGCAAGTTAAGGTGACAAATGCTTGAATGATTTTAACATCGCGCATACCTTCAACAATAATCAGAACAACAACATACAGAATTTGAAAGCAAATCGAAATTATCGCAACTCTATGATTCAAAACAAAAAGCTAAACCATTTCATGAGGCTGCTGCATTCATCAACTTTTCATTAATTCAGTGAATAAATCAGTTTATTGTATGTACAAATAGTAACAAGTGGTCTATTTCGAGAAGCCTTTCTGGTCTTAATGGCTGGCAACTGGATCGATAAAATGATCAACCTCTTTGACGATATATACCGAAGCAATTACACGAACTGATTCAAGCTTCTAACAGCATTACAATGACTATGACGTACCATCTATACAACGACTGACTAGACTAACAGCTAAACAAGACGTCGTGCTTAATGCTTAAGGATCGTCTTCTCATATCGTACATTGCTTATAGCAAAAATCCTGTTGGGTAGTACCGAATTGGATGAGCATATTGTGGCAATATTGACGAGAACAACCGATTGCACTTCACGAGGTGCTCGCAACAGTCGCACCAGTGCTTTCGAGATGATCGACACCTGCGACGGTGGGGCACAATGATAGAACAACTGTGCCACGGCCAGCACAACTGCACAGTTGCGACTCTGCAGAAGCGGTCGAGACGACGAGAGCAGCAGTGACAGATCGGGATCCATCTCGACGCTTGGTGACACGAACTGATTGCGTGCATAACGTGTCAACAGACCGATCATCACCACTTGTCCCCATTCATCCACATCAGCTAACGCCTGAAACTTTGAATTGGTTTCATTGCGTACGAAAACATTATGATGCAACGATGCTAACGGTTATAAAAGCATTCGCATCAATAATGATTTATGTATGTATAGATCTGTTCGGTTACTTGGAATTAATTGTTACTTGGACATCGAGCGGTGGTCGTTTTGTCAATCGCTGTGAGCGATCGGTGGAATATTTATTTTATTAGAGTAATGATTATTTATTGAATTGGTATTTGACTATGTGATTAATTATGCAAAGTGTTCACGGTGAATTAATTATTTACTCGGTTATGTTCAGTTGGTCTGCTCACCTAGCCAGCGGGGTGGCGTGAATTGAGGCTAAAACACTGTGCACGGAAACGCGAGCATTGTGGCCAGCAACGTTATAAACGTTTG